ATCTACCATTTATTTATTTTCTTTAAAGTTTATTTATTTGGAGAGACAGGGAGGGGCAGAGAGAGATGGGGGGAGAGAGAGAGAGAGACAGAGAGAGAGAGAATCCCAAGCAGGCTCTGCAAGGCCAGCCACGGGGCTCGACCCACGAACTGTGAGATCATGACCTGCGCTGAAATCGAGAGCAGGACGCTTAACCGACCGAGCCACCCAGGAGCCCCGTAACTGTGCCTTTAAACAGAGAGAACTTTACTCCTGTCTCACGTAAGCAGTCCCCATGGAGGCGGTGGCTTCCTGGAGCTCAGGGAGTCAGGCAGGACGCTCTGCCGTCCCCAACACAGCATTCCCATGCCATGTCCTAAACTGGCTGCCCCACCCGCGGCATAGCACCTTCATTCCTGCTGGTAAGAAGGAAAAAGGAAGTGGAGGAAAACCTGCGTTTTTTCGAAGGTGCCATCTGGCAGTTTCAAGTCATTTCTGCTCGGACCTCATTGGTCAGAGTTTAGTCACATGTACATGCCCGGCTGCTGCAAGGGAGACTGGAAAATGTAGTGTGTAGCCGGGCAGCCGTGTGGCCACATAAAACTCCGGGGTTCTGTTGCCGAAGGAAGAAAGGAGAGTGGATTTTGAGGGACAAGCAGCGGCAGCTGCGACACGGGAGTATCACCACGGGGTCAGGCCAACCCCACGTCAACCGTCACTGACTCTACTACTGAATAGCTGTATTATCTTAGGAAAATGACTTCTCTCTGTGCTAGTCAATGTCCTCATCTAAAACACGAGGATAAAAATGCATCGTAGGATCGACAGGGTGAAATGTGTAAGCATCCGGAACTCAGGAGTGCTCGATCCATGAGCCTTTAATAAATTGGTTTTGAAGGCATTTCTCAAAGAAAACTCTAGAAGCCTGGAAGCAGAAATAGGATGGAGTAGGTCTTCGGCTCCACTTCCTGGGGACATGGGGTGAGATATGCTTGTGTCACTGTCCTATACTTAACAAATCATCAGAATGAAGATAGCAATGACAACCCTTTAATTACATATTTCCACACCACAGAGGGCAGTTCAGTACAGAATAATGCCTTAGAGTGCAGACTCTAGGTCAGGCTGTTTGGACCCTAGCTCCCCCTCCACCAACAGCTACCGCTGTGTCATCGGGCATGTGGTTCAACACCCTGAAGCCTCAGTTTGCTCTTCTGTAAAATGGGAACGATAACAGGGTTGCTGCAAGGGTAAAATGAGCTGATTCATATTAGCATGTGGCACATGTAAGTATTCAAATGTTATCTGTCAAAAAAGCATGCTTCATATTGTGTTTTAGAAATAAATCTTCAGGGGGCACCTGGCTGGCTCAGTTGGTGGAGCATGTGACTCTTGATCTCGGGGTCATGAGCTCGAGCTCCATGTTGGGTGTAGAGATTACTTAAAAACAAAAAAAGAGGGGCGCCTGGGTGGCGCAGTCGGTTAAGCGTCCGACTTCAGCCAGGTCACGATCTCGCGGTCCGTGAGTTCGAGCCCCGCGTCGGGCTCTGGGCTGATGGCTCAGAGCCTGGAGCCTGTTTCTGATTCTGTGTCTCCCTCTCTCTCTGCCCCTCCCCCGTTCATGCTCTGTCTCTCTCTGTCCCAAAAATAAATAAACGTTGAAAAAAAAATTAAAAAAAAAAACAAAAAAAAAACAAAAAAAGAGATCCTAACAAAAAGGGGAAGGACTTCTACATACTGGTGATGGTATAAAATGAATGAGGTCTTGGATAAGATTATCCAATTGTAAGGTACATTACAATTTAGATGCAAAAACCCAATTTCCAGCCACACACACAGTCTAACAAAAACAATTTTCCACCACAAATGCAGTCTGATAAATTCTATTTCATACAACAAACGTGTAAAACAAACATAGCTGGGGGACAAGGGTACATCTTACAGGAGATGATAAATCTTTTATAATTCAAAAGGAGAATAGCAGAAGAGTAATTAAAAGCAGGGGGAGTTCTTGCCTTTCTCAGTGAACTAGCCAGGATACAATTCATGGCACAGAAAAATAACATGAAAACAGGACCTTCACCTGGTTAATTACTTTATCTTAATGTCTTAGTGGTAACTGGTGTGTTATTCCCAAGACTTCCCCCCCCACACTCCGCCACTTAAGTATGTGAGAGTGTGTGTTTGCATTCTATTTATTTAGTTATTTTATTTATTATTTTTGAGGGGGGGGTGCAGAGAGAGGGGAACAGAGGATCTGAAGAGGACAGTGGCAAACTCACCAAATTTGAGATCACAATCTGAGCCGAAGGCATATGCTTAACTGACTCAGCCACCCTGGCACCCCTCTTTTTAGTTTTTATTTTTTTATTTTTGTATTTGCGTTCTTAAAACCTCTTGGGTACAAATTGCAGTCTTCCCCTCCAGGTGTTTCTTGATATGTTATTGGAATCTGGAGTCTATGGTTTCAACTACATTTTTAACCATGACACTCTCAACCTATTTAAGGTTTATAACTTTTATTTCCATAGCTATTATGTTGATGACAGGGGACAAGTATTATGTATGATTAGAGAAATGAAGCATGCTATCCTGGTAAGCAGAGGTAGGGGCAGCTAATGTATTTGGGAGAGGGGTCTTAAATTATACTGTAAACAGCACTGCAACCACTCTTAAGGGTTAACTTACTTCAAGCTTAGGGGCTCCTTGCTTGCTGACCTAAGTCCCTTGGTCTGTAGCAGAACACCTACTTTCCTAGGGATTAGACCACTGGCCTTGAGGAATGAGGGATCAGGCTCTCCGGGAGGTAAGGCCTGCCCAAGATCATGACCACAAACGACTAAAGGCCCAGGCACCACCTTCCCTTGCACCAGCCCCCACGTTTCTGGCACGGCGCTCCCATTTAAAACCCTCTGGCTTGGGGGCACCTGGGTGGCTCAGTCGGTTAAGCCTCCGACTTCGGCTCAGGTCATGATCTCACGGTTTGTGGGTTCGAGCCCCACGTTGGGCTCTGTGCTCACAGCTTGAAGCCTGGAGTCTGCTTTGGATTCTGCGTCTCCCTCTCTCTCTGTTCCTCCCTGCTCTCACTCTGTCTCTCTCTCAAAAATAAAGATTTTTAAAAAACGTGTTTTGTTTTTTTTTTTT